TTAATTAATATTTAATTGTTTTAGAGTCCTTCGAAGTATTTTAGAGTTATTTGTAACTAATAAAAATATTTTAGGAAAAAATTAAAAAGAAAATCAGATTTACAGAAGGCAATTCAAGTGATGAAGATCAAGAAATACATGAGCATGAAGATATTGAATTTCAAAGCACTTTGGAGAAAGTAGAAAATGATGAAAATGATCTGGAATTGCAACTGGAAAATATAGGAATAGAAAGGTCTAATTTGACAATGAGTGATGTAAATGTAATTGATTAATAAAAATATGTAAAAAAAGTAATTTCAATAAATAAATTTTTAAAAATAAATATTTTAATAATAATGTGATAATATTTTATTATAATTTAAAAAATTCAAATTTCTCCAAAGTTATATATATAAATCTCTACTCCAGAGACTTTTAACAATAATAGAGTGCTTACGGAGTTTTACGTCCAAAAATCTCTAGAGATCTTTGTCAAAAAATTTTCCTGATAAGGTTTTTGATAATAAAAGAGCTTTTTTTTTCACTTTCCAGTCACTTGTTGACTTCTAGAAGCTATCACTTTTACTGTTTTCTGAGAAACTTTGTTTACTTCAGTTTAACTCTGAATTTTGGATAATACAAATCTTTACCAAAGATAATTGATTGATACAAAACATGTTAGTTTTAGAAAAAATAAACAAGCTTTTATTGGTTATATTCATATGTCTTTATTACATAATGGATAATATAGAAAAGAAAGTTTTAAAAGAAGTTTCTTTTCAACTATATATATTTGATTTCTAAAAAATAATTATAATACTGAAAGATAAAATAGGTTTACATAAAAAAATTTTATTCCTTTTCTAAGTTTTTCAAGTACTAAAAAGGTTTTCTAAAGTAGAAACTGAGATTTTTTAGTTTCTCTTAAACTATTTCAATTCAGTGCATGCTTAAATAAAAACTCATCTGATATCATAGATAATCTTAATTAAGCAAAATCACTTTTAAGAAGAGATTATAAATTAAAATAAGAACCTTTTGAAAGGTTTTGAGTTGTTTTTTGTTTTTCCATTTTTTAATATCAACTTTAGTAATTTATCCATTTTCAGAATAATTATAGTGACAAACTATTGCTAATAACCTTGATGGACTTAGAAACATTGCATTAAACTATTAGTAGAACATAATATTGTTTCTTAAATCTAACTTAGAATATATAATTAAGACTTAGTTTTGTTTAATTCAAACTAGCTTAGTGGACATCTTATATTTTTAAGTTATATAATCCTTTAACTAATAATATACAAAGATGAATTAGTTGTTATATAAGAAGGTCTGTAAATTATTTTAGTATTTTTTCAAGTATCTTAATAAAAACAAGCCATTTTAAGACATGATTGTGGATTAATTAAAAAAAATATATATTGGTTTTTTTTTTAAACTATTTATCATATTTAAAAAAGATGTTTTTTGATTTTTTCTAATTACTAAAAGTCAAGTTTTTATATAAAAAAAATATAAATAAGAGAAAAAAAATAGGAACAACTTTTAAAATTGATTTTCAAATTGATCTAAAAAAAGTAATAAGATTTTATTAATATAAAATATAAAACTTTTTATATATACTATATATATATTATATAAAGATTTAAAAAACCTTCTTTTAATAATTCTTTAACAATATTTATAAAAAATATTTATATATATATTAATATATCTTATTTTTATAAATACAGTATATTATTAAAAAATTATAAATTGATTAACTTTTATATATTAATTCATCTATTATTGAAAACTATTTCTCTATATGTAACTTAGAAAATAATATTTTGCTTTTTTATTTCTATTTATTGATAACTTCTTTTTGATTTTTGTTACTTTAAATAATTATTTTAGCTTTTTTTAGGTTTGTTTTTTTTTACTAACCAAGCTTACACAGCTAACTGACAGAGGGTTGTCAAAAAAAAACTATATTTTTAATTAAAATAATAAAATACAAACCACATTCTTATTAAATAAAATAAATCAATTAAAAATAGCTTTTTTAATACAATCTCTATAGTATTTATAAGCAACAAAAAATTTGGTTATGTAATTGTCCTATGCTTTTTTTTTATCTTTTAATCACGGTACAATCAAAGTTTTCTAGAAAGTTGAATGATACGTCTTCATGAAAATGTAAATTGTTAATGATCCGCGTAGCCATTTTAAAAACAAGAAAACAAACACCGCATTGACGAAATAAAGATGTCCAAAATGTTTTTACAAAAATATTTTAAATTACGAATATATAGTTGTTTATGAATATATAGGCTTTTCTTTAAGATGAATCTGTGACTTTCCTTCCGGAGAACCCGGAATATATTTTTCCAATTTCTAATAAAATTTTGTTGCAAAGAAATTCAGGGATGCACTATGCAAAAATCGAAGATAATATTGATATAAACGTACCAGAGCACTTAGAACACACGCGTTAAATTTTCGCTCGGGCGCTCGACAGCGATGAAATTCTTGGTTATTATAATCCAGACAAGTCCAATGAGCTTCAAACTCTTTGTCACAATTCTCGCGTAATTTGCGGAGCCTGAAATTCGGAACCAGTTATTTTCAAAAAAACTCATCCATTCAACGCAACCCAATAATTCGCCCTGCGGGTATCAATTGAAATTGATTACTTACAAATCAATTGCACATCTTGTAACCTTTCGCCCTTCCTTCAAACAATGTGCTGGATCATTATTCTCATTTTTACAAAGCATAAAATCCTCATTATACTCTTTACAGTATGCACCAATGAAGTATGCAGCAGAATGCAAAGGAGCCGAAGTGCACCCAACCTCTTCGACCTTTGGAATATTGTCAGGCATAGGTGTAGGATCTACAAATTCAAAATCTGATATGTTGGGAGTCTTGGGGGCCGCCATGGTTTTCCAAATTGTTGCTGGATAACGAGTAGCAAGATTGAGTTGATGATCGAGGATCCTTTTATCAGTTGGAATTAGATCACATGATTTCATGATCGATTCTCATGTTAGGCCAGAAGAATTTCACGTATTTAGGGACAAACAAGTAATATTTTAATTGACGTGAAGTTTTGACTAATTGAAGCCCACGCTTTAAACGAAACTTCGAATTTTGATTGCAATATTTTAAATACACAAATTATTTCCAACACTATTTAACAACTTCTATTCTAATTAACAGGATCAAAAATCAACTCAAAAACTATCAATTAATTAATATGTAGGATCAACCATAGGTATCCACCAAGGAATCCCTCAATTCGGTGACAATGGCCGTTGGTTGTGCGCCGTGCAATTTAAATATATTTTCAACCACCGATAACTCTGTTGCCGTACTGTCTAATCCGGCAAACGCACACCAATCATTTACCACGAGACCCGCTCCAATCACATCCGAACCACGATTTACTGTCCCCGCCTAAGAATGAAAAACAAACCAAGTAAGCTTATGAAAAAAAAGAGGGTACAAAGTGATATCAATTACGAACCACAAGTGGGACCTGCAGTAGAGACGATAATTCATCTTGATCTTGAATACTGGTACGTGGATGAACCTATTGGAATAAAAATATTATTTCTGACCTGCATCTTATTTTCATTAAAAAAAAAAAAAATTAATAAATCGCCTACCAAGCCCCCTTGGTTACTTATCGCACAGTAACTTCCGACTAATACATTTCCCGCAATTGTTTGTGTAAACACCTCAACTTCTAACACGTCCTGAATGATCTCTTGAGTTTCTCTGTCAACATCAGGATGAATGAGGGCAACGTAGTCATTACATGCAATGACATTCCCCAGGGCAGATAACCTTTCTTCAATACGCTGGATTTTGATGGAATCTGGGAGAGAGTTACGCAAGTGCTGAAGCTCTTGATCAGTTGTTGTGTTTGGAACAAGAAGACCTTTTTTGTTGCCTATTGGTTTTAACCATTAATTAGCAATACAAGATCATAAAATGTATGTATTATCATTTAATGCAAAATCATTGAGCGAAACGAACCAACAGTTAAACGGCCGACAATTCTAGTACCGGCTATTGAAGTATGCACTACCGGGACTACATCACCTAACTCTCCTTCAAAAACGCTATTTTGGATTCCTAATAATGTCAGCGAACTCTAATAAATATTGAAGAATCAGAACATTACTAGTAAGAATGAACCTGTAAAAGTTTTCTGAGCCGCCAATAGCAACCAAACAATAAGAGTTAGTAAGACGGGCAAAGACGCCGATATCGTTACTATTTTCGAATTGCGCGCCTGCAAAAAGAATTTGCATGAATCATTACGAGATGAATATAAGATCACCAAGAACTTACTTCAAGACATATACTCACGAACTGCCATTTTAAAATGCTATATTTCTATGTTGTAGAACTAACGTGAAGGCGACGAAATTACTACGCACGTAAAGGGCGCAGTGTGATGCAGTAACTATTTATATGCATACGACACGTGATCTACGTTACCAGACCGTAGTTATTAATCAATTGAATAATTGAGAATTTGGGTTAGAACATTTCTAGTCCATATATTATAATCAACAAGTTCATACCATATATTTTATCAAGTTATAGTTGAAAAAAAAAAGAATAAATATTTGAAAATACTGTATATATAGTAAATATATAATAAGAAAAAAAAAATAAAAATAAAAAATATCTATAAGTTTATAGCATAATAGCAAAGTTTTTATGTTACTAATTACAAAATTTTAAATTTAATATTATGTAGGAATCAATAATTAAATTCATTAAATAGTTTATAAAGGTTATATTTAAGTATTCAAAAAATTATTTTTATTAAGTTAGATTATATTATATATATAAAGGTAAGATTTCTAATTTTTTATAAGTCAAAAATTGAGATCTATAATTATACTATTAAAAAGATTACATGAAAAAAAATTTTAATTTAATTAATTTATAA